AATGATAAAAGCGAAGGGCTGTTCAACTGACCACCTGTCCACCTGAGTGTGTGTGTGTGAGTGTGTGTATGCTGGTGTGTGAGAGAGTGATCGGTGCTCAAAGTCTGCTAATGAAGTGCTTTTGAGAAATGGTAGCTGAATAGCAGTGCCTACACTCACAGATGTGAAACTTAATGAGAAAGAGTCTGCTACATTCTGGTTACAGGCAAGGCAGAATATGGCCACCTGGAATGTAAAACTTTTGGAGGGGGTTGCTGTCTGTATGGGCAGCAATTACTCAGTCCTATGCATGGACAAGATGAACAATAATTTATTTCATTAACGAAAAATATTGTTTCTCCTTTTGCAATTAAAAGAAATTGAGTTTTCATTGTCTTTATAAAGGGTGGTGTGGAAATTACTGAAGGTTTATTTCAATGGTTTTGTTTCTAACATGAAAGAGAAAACCTGGTTTACAGATTTACATTAGTGAATTAATCAGCAGCTAATCTAATAAGAAGGTGATTTTAGAGCTAAACCCTTACACTGAGCCTTGTTTCCCCTATTTTAATTAACAAAAGGCTTTAAATGGGAATCTTAGGAAGCCAGCTGCCTGCTTTGAGGCATTTCAACAGCTCATCCCTTCCTGAGACCTGCTTAGCGTTAGTCTCTGTGCAGGGAACCCCACTGCTAGTCAGGCACCATGGGCTTGTTCTTAATAGCACACCTCCACCTAAGGTGACAAAGTAGCACAGTTTAGGCCTGTGGATAAAACTCATTAGTTTCTGGATTAGACCAAGCACTCTCATCCTACATTGTACTTCTTGGCACCGTTAATTATGCATTTAGCACTTTACCCCGTTAGTCAAGATGGATATGCTTTTTTTTCTCACCTGCGACTTTTGGGGCTTTACACACACTGTTCTAGACTTTTTTTTATATAAATGATTACTCAGCAGGGCGCATGGTCAACCAACTGTGAGATGGGAGCATGACTGAAGGAGGAGAATGGGGGGGGAAAAAAACTTGTGAGGTCAAATCAGACAGGTCTACATGCAGGGGTAAAAGTGTTGAAAGGAAGATAAGAGATTATATTCTGATCAGAGCATTGGGAAACTATGCATAGCTCTTTTTTTATTGTATTTTTTTTTTAGTTTGTCATGTTATAACACTAATTTTAAATTCATTGTAGTGGGATATCAATAGTAGTGTGATATATTGATGCAAAATTATGCATAATTGTGGTAGGTTGTGGTATAACATGGGCTAGTCTACCTAAGACCATTTTAAATTACTAACAGATCTTGCAAGAGTGGATAATGAGCTTGTCAGTGATGCAAAACTTGTGGAAATCAAAAAAAGAATTGAAGAAAATATACAAAAACAATTAAATCAGATCTTGAAGTCAGAGTGGAAAAAGTTTTCGACCTAAGGAAAACCAGTTGATAGCATTGATTGAGTCATTGACTGGCTAGACACACTCCTCCAGAATGAGCATATGGTGACAGTAGATAATAAATTGCATTTTGTTTTTGACCACTATAGCAATGTATGCAGTGACAGTGGACCGGAAATGTTCTTTTTTGACAGGAAGAAAAATCAAGCAGTAAACTGGTCTTTTTTCAAGAGGTCTTCTGCAAAGGCTGACTGGGGTTCCAAGGAGAAACATATAAAAGGAAAGCTCTAAGCCAGTTTTAATGGCAAAGGGATTAAAGAGAGTGCTTACAGTTATCATTGGCTAACTGTGTTTCCTTTTCCATGAAATAGTTTCCCTCAGAGTTGAGGAGTCATCCTTGCATCTCCTCCTCCATATTAAAAGTAGTAATGCATACGGTACTCCTTCACTGCAGTCAGTTGCTGCCTCTTCTTGGCCCACCACATCATCAGTGTCATTATGTATAGCATAGGCTAAGCAGTTAGCTTAGCCAAGATGAAGCTATTATGATGAAAACCCATAGAGAACAAAAAGTTAGGGACTGAACTAACAAATACTGCACAATAGGAAAATAGATATGGAATGAAGCAGAATGATAAAAAGTGGTCCTTATGTCCTCCAGCAGCCTAAGCCTATATCAGCAAAACTAAAGAGACAGCTGAGGAAAACCTGCCTACTGTTTAATCCATTTGAACTTGATCAAGAAAATGCAGCCCAGGCCGCAGACTGGCCGCAGCAGCAAGCTTCCAGCGGGGATTTCCAGCACTGCCTCCCAGTGGTATGCTGGATGTCTGGAGCTCCAAACAAGTGTTGCATATTTATGCAGGATCATAATCCTGATGAAGTGACTGCACATATGATATTTCTCACTTAAAGATGTGTCAGAAATTTTTTTCCAACTCATCAAATCATATAGAGCCAAGCTGCTCTTTAGCATGTAGCTACAGAATAGAGCAGATAAACAACCAGAGTGCAGAGCGTCAAAGGGGTCAAAGGAACTTGATCACAGTTGACCATCCACGTTTGGCGTTTAAGCGTTTTTGACACCCAAAAATTCTTCGGTGTGAATGCAGGTTTAGCATGTGTATGCTCATGGTGTGTGAAAAGACTGCTCGAAAAAAGAAATCAGTTCACATTAATAAAGGGTTATATGTTGTAACGGTTAAATGAGAGCAATATTTTGCCACATTTTGTTTACAAAATCCAAGTAAAAAGCATGGCTTGCTTAAAATAGGCTACGTGATTGGTCGACAGCACAACACTTGCTCAGTGTTGTGTATTGTCTTTTAGGCAACCTGCCAACGTTGCAGGTAGATGGACAGTGTTCAAAATTGTGCATGAGTACACAAGTAATGGTTTTCTGTTAATAAATTCTCCTACCTGAGCTGTCTATATCTCCTCTATAGTTTCTATGGTCTGAACAAACATTTACACCCGTAGTGAGATGTCTTCAGTGATTTTCTTTTCTGTACAGTTATTCAGTGCAACATAAAATCTTAGTTTACTATCACTTAGTCAACTCAAGAACTATGATGTCTTTTTCATTCAAATAAGAGACTCAAGCATAGATACTCATCATGCGTTCATTGTTTGAATATAGCTTCAACTTGCTCCAAAAGATTCTGTCACGTGTCGAATGCAGCTGGAAGACTTAATGAGACAGGCCTCAATATAACAAAAAATATTGTAGCAGGTTTCATTTTACGCTCCATGATCTCATTGCTCTCCTTATTTAGAGTTTTATGATTTGTTTTCATTTAGGAAAAAATAATTAATCCAATATCTTAGATGGTTTCCCAAACTTTAACTACTTTCTCAAACAGTTTCACATTTATTTTTGGGAAATAGATGTAGTTATACCTTGCAGGTTTCTTAAAACCTTTAATTTCTTACTCATCTTTTGTGACGTTGATGACAATTGTTATCCTTGTGAGAAAAAAAAATCTGAGTAAGAGATGAAATACATCTAGAGATGAGAAAATGCTAAAGCATCAAAAAATTGTGAAATTAATAAGGCAAGTTCTTTTTTTTTTCATGCCAAGAAAACGGAAACTTAGTTAGCCAACTAATCAGAGTTTGCCTGCATTTCAATGAAATGTTCACAGAAATCATACACAGTGAGATTGACATAAAAGTAACATGAAAGCTGTCGGAGACATCATAAAATAGACTTTGATGAAATCAAGTTAAAACATAGAACACTTAAACTCGCACAGCTCTTTGATCTACTTCTTTGTCAGAAAAAGTTAGAATCCGAGTGGTGATGGGAAATGTAAAGGAAAAGGGTGAGCAGATAACATGGAAGAGAGCAGGATTGCTGAGGAATAACTTCGCCTTCTGTCAAACTGGTTTCCCGCGCTGATTTTCAATGTCAGCTGTACTAGCCGACAACTCTCTCTAGACATGCTGACATAACGCCATACTGATCAGCTCCATTATGGTGAATTTCTGTTCTCAAAGTGAACTGAAACTGTCTCTCAGAAGTTAGTCTTTCAGAGTCAACTTTTAGCTTGTCCTGACTTTTTCTGTCTTTGTATGAACAATCAATATGTCAGACACTTGTGGAATAAAGCAGCTACTGAAGCAGTTGTCTGGACATTTTACACTCCTTTGCACCCCCGGGCTGCACACTTGGATGCATAGTAATACCATATTATGATGGGATGCTCTCTGCAGCACAGTGTAAACAAGCTGGCTCTTATACAAGAAAGAATACCACTAGAATATAATGACTATACAACATAAACAGAACCTTAAAAAATACCAGGGTATTTGTCATTTTAATCAATTTTATTGTTTTATTTGTTATCTATATATATATACACACTGTAGAGAGAAAAAATTGTAGAAAGATTGAAAAAGCCAAGTAGGGAACAGCAAACCTTTGAAAAAGAATGTCCTGCTCAGATGAGTAACAATAAAAGTTTAGGCTTACATTAACGTTATGTAAATTGGACTGTTGGGATGTAGAAAATGTTAAGAAGCGGGTGTAAAAACATTTGCATTCCTCTATAGCAGGGGTCACCAACCACATTGTGTGCCCTCAGTCTTCTGAAAATAGAAGTTTGAAATTGTATTTTATTCTGTTGCTCTTCTTTTTTAATCATTTATAGAGCATTTCAAAATAAAAATGTCAAAACTAAAAGAAACAATAAAATGTGTTGATAATGTACGAAGTTCAGGTGAATGCTGACCCTTACAGTCCATAGGGTCTGTATTGGTAGCCCTTCCTATGACTCTTTACCCTTGAAGTACCCTTGAAGGGGCCCTCAGCCTTAAAATGTTTGGAGACCCCTGCTTTATAGTTTCCATGTTTATTAAGGAACCCTCTTTTTCCTGTGTTTGCCATTAGCTTATAATCTAAATGTTTTAAATTTGGTAGAAGTCAGTGCTTAGTGCTTGACCTTTACAAATGACTCCTGGCTGACCTTAAGATGGACCCATTTATCAGACCTCATCTCATAAAGTTAAAGAAAGGAGATTTATTGTTTGTTTTGTTATTTATAAGAGTGATGTAGATTTTGCAGTTATCTTTTTCCTTTTTTCTTATCCCTCTGTACTGTATCTTTTTCTCTTTCTCTTGCAGGTGGAGCGAGAAATAGCTATTTTGAAGCTCATAGAACACCCACACGTTTTAAAGCTACATGATGTCTATGAAAATAAAAAATACTTGTAAGTATGAACTATTGATGGTCCAGTTTGATACATGGCATCTGCAAGTGATTTTGATATGAATGGTATCTTTTTAAGCTGTTGAATATTTTTTTTTACAAAAAAATGTCTATTAGGATTTTGTACAGGGTTTCATCACAATTAGGACAAATCTAGCAAACTATGGAGTTTTAAGTATTTTCCTTGTCCCCGTTGGAATGACAAATAGAAATAAAATAGTTCTGTATATAAAGGAATCAGATTTAAATCTAACTGTTCCTCCATCCTTCCCTCCATCATCCTTACTGTATGTTCATCTATCCATCCACCATTCATCCATTTTTTTGTCCACCCAGGCAGCCTTCCATGTTTCTGTCTTTTTGATATTCCCTTTTATTCAAATCTGTGTTTACAGGTTCCATGTTTGAATCCTGACCTCTATTACAATGTCTATGCACTCACTCTTCCTGGCATTTGTCTATCATCCATTCAGATGTCCAACCATCTATCCATTTTTCCTTTTTCCCTCTGTCTTGCAGTCTTTTGTGTTACGCTTAACTGTCCACGCTTAACTGTCTGCTGTTAAACCTATACGTATCAAGCTTATACTTAAAAAATGAGCTAAATATCGATCTTGTCTTTAAATCTCAGTCTGATAAAATGAATAAGCTTGACATCCGCTTCAAAGTGTCTCTGTGTACATCCTATTCACTGTTAAAGGTATTACTCTCAGGTGGTCTTTAGGAAACGGTGATTTTAATGCAGCAGATCATCTTATGATTGCAGGGCAACTGGGACTGCCTTCGAGGGTCTGGATGCTCCATTAGTACTAGCATTGAGCATTTATTTGGTCATGCACACCAGGGGACTGTTAATAGCAAGGGGGGAAGTCTCTGTAATACAAACCCCATGATGTGCTTATCAGTGCCAAAACCACTGCATTAAGAAACATTAGCTATGCAGAGTTGGCTGCAGCAGCTGTGTTTACATACTGATGCTCAATATATTAACTAAGTTTAACAGCGGTGAGTGACAGGCCATCCGTTTTCTAGTAGACCTCCTGATCTACAGAGGATTGCCTGTCAACTAAATCCGTTTACTCTTTATCTTCAACTTATTGGCCATGTAAGTTATTGGGCGTGCAGAATAGTGCCTGTCATCCTTTTTAAATGATATAGAAAGCAGAAAATTAGAATTCAAGACCAGTAACTGGATTATTAAAATCACATCTTGTGCCCATTGCTTCATCACTTTTGACAGACGGTCACTAGTTACATCACAGAAGACAAATTGCTTTAAATGTTATTAATATGCGGGACTGGAACGCATAAACTCGTATCACTAATGTGATTTTCCTCCTCACACGGTTCAGATTCCGGTCCGGATATCACCACTTGAAAGCCGTTAATTGATAGGCATATAGCATGTTTGGTTTTAGCACTCCCAGAGCTTAAAAGATTTATTATATTTACTGGCACATATCCTGCAACGAGTTGTTAAAACTAATGTGGTGTTTATGTATATGAGAGGTGGAGAGAATTTGATACCTTGCTCACCAATAACTTATTTATAGGCTGAATGAATAAACAGATTATGATGCAGACATAAATTATGCTTTTAAGAATAAAAATGCTCGCAAGTCGGACTGCAGCACATATACAGGATTTGTGTGCGTCACCTTAAGTTTATTCCAGTTTTGGTTCTGTTGAGATTGCGTGACAAAATTTTGGCTTCATGTTGACTTTATTTTGTTAATTAAAAACATTTAAAAATTCCAGATATTTGTGTACTCGTCTTTTTATATTTTTTAGGTAAACACAAAGATATGAAACTTATCCAAACTGAATCTAGTATGTTGGAGGATAGCTGCAAATTGAATGTCGCCTTCCTTTTTTTATTTTGATAGTGCAGCTTTGTTGCCTCAGAAAATTTTTCTTATTAAAAATGTCTCTCTTTAGTCACATAGAACCAATATATGTATTTAGTTCTATTTCTAAGGAGATTTAAGAAAAAAAACATTTAGGTTATACTAATAGTAAAATGCTGTTTACTGCGATTGTAATTAAAAGCTTTAAGAAAAATTTAGCTCGTTTAGTTTGGCCTAGATTAGTTTTCAAACTATGGTGGCTTCAGGGCTGCATATGAGTTTTGATCAATAGATAGTTTTCTTTTGCACCTCCTAAACATGAAGACTTTTGTTGACAAAAATTTAGATCTTGTCTAAAATGAAGCTTTCCAGGATAGAGATAAAAAAATGTAAGTATGTTTTTATTCCGTTAACTCGATATGGAAATGATTAAATAAATAAATAAATGATGTATCAAACAATAAACTTATTTTTATCTCAATAATGTTGATGCCTCAAAAAAATATGTTAATGTTTTTTTTCTAAATTTGAAAGACTGTTGATGGACTGGGCAACATGTTTCCACTCTTCAGAGAGGATGTAAACAGGATAACAACTTGCAACTAACCCCTATTAAATACTATTCCATATTGGATACCGGTCTATAAAGTTCAAGGCTTAATTATTTAGTTCTGTGTTTCAAGAAATCGGTTCAAGGTAGTTGGAGCTGTTTGTATGAACATTGAAGTGATCAGGAGTCCCAATTTAATGTATGTTTGTTTTGATGCATATTGCACATTTCTGTTAATGCAATTAACCTAATTTCCCTACTGAAATAGTACTATCCACCAGTTGCAGTATATGACACATAGTAAACGCAAAAAAAAAAAAAAACTGATCCAAGCAGCCAAATATTTAAAAATAAATATAATAAGTGATATGGGGTACCCTAACCTTCTCATGTGACCGTATATTGAAAACAGACACAATCTATTAATCAATGACAATTTGATCATTTGCAAAGGCAATTAATGTATCCTGATGGTTGCATGGGAACAAATTGCATTGTTTTACTGTTTTTCAATTTCTGTTTAAATTAGAGCTAAAACAATTAATCGAATTAATCATGATTCATCGATTATTAAGATAATCATCAACTAATTTAGTAATTGATTAATAGTTAACTGGAGTATAGAGACTCTAAAACATGCCTTTATTTGACAGATCGACCCATTTAGAGCAGTTATTGTAACAAAATTGTAAAAAAAATAACTAAAAATTTAACATTTTGCATTTAAGAAAAAAAAACATATTCAACTGTCAATATGCTCCAGCCAGAACTTTAGTTTCACCTGCTGTAAAAAAAAAGGCTTCTTTAGGGAATCTTTGGCTATCGACTATTAATCGATGAATCGAAAAAATAATCAACAGATTAATTGATTTGCAAAATAATCATTTATTGCAGCCCTAGTTTTGATTAACATTGTCAAAAGTAAATGTCATACAGTAAGTTCCAGAGGGATCACTCCTGCCAGACCTTGGCTTTGGAGAGACCATGTTCTATAGCCAATGCAGTCTGCTGCAGCATATGGTAATCTCTAAAACTGAAATGATGGATGTGCATTTGGTATTTTGTCAAGATGATTGCTGCTACAAAAAAAAAGGAAAAGAAAAGGAGTTTAACCTTTTTGGATTCCAACCTGTACTTGTTATGGATAAAAGTACTTTAGGTACAAGAAATATGAGCAGAGCAGAACCAGAGGCCAGCTGGATTTCAACCCGGATATATAGCTTTGTTCTCAGGTCAGTGGAGATATATCTCCCTCCTGTCCCCTTGGTGCTGCAGAGCATGGCTGAGCTATATATTCAGGATGACAGACTGGCTCTGTAAAAGTCCGACCACACAGACTAAAAGACTACAGTACCTCATCAGCAACTGTATGAAAAAAAAAGTGGCAGGGGCATGTATCCTTGTAAATGTAAAATATGATGACACCACTATTTATGTAGCAAAAGTGTCAAAGCATGAGAATTACACATATTTGGAAAATAGTGCTACTGAAAAGTCATGTTGCATCAGATTTGAATACTTTTTGAGGTTTTCAGTTTTATTTATTTTTTGCAGCTCTTTCAACGGAATTTAAAATAAAAGTGTTTATAACTTGAGTTTCTCTTTCTGGCTTTCTGGAACTATGTTTTTGACTTTGGTTTCTTTCTGAATTTTCTTGTTTTTGGTTTCTTTCTGAATTTTCTTGTTTTTTTTTTTTGTTTCAGGTACCTTGTGCTAGAACATGTATCTGGTGGTGAACTGTTTGACTACTTGGTGAAGAAGGGCAGATTAACACCAAAAGAGGCCAGAAAATTCTTCAGACAAATCATGTCTGCCCTGGATTTTTGCCACAGTCATTCAATATGGTAAGTGCTTCAATCTTTGTATCTGAGGGAATGCACAGCAGCGCAGCATAAAATAGTTTGCTAGAATTGTTGAAATTATATTTATACAGAAGCTCATCTCAGTATCTGTATCTGGGAACTAATTCTTTTGGTTATGACCATAGTTGAAAGTAGGAACGTGGACCAACTGATGAATTGAGAGCTTTGGCTTTGCTCTCTCCTCACTAAAGTACTTTGCAGCTTCCCCATCAAATATCAAAGCCCTCTTTATGTCCACAAAGTACTTGCGGACCCCTTTAGGCTATATACCCTCTTCAGGGCATACAGTAGATACAGTATTTTGCATCTGGGCAAAATTCAACATATCTTTAGATACCAAAAATAATCTAGCTGAATGTATTAAGTCTTCTTTAGTCCTTTCAAAAAGGTTAAAAAACAATCCACAGGACTTTGTTTCCAAGTTGGAAAACATTTCGCTTCCCATCCAGGAAGCTTTTTCTTTCAAATGTCAGAAAGAGTGTCTAGTTCGAGGCTTTATAGAGTGGACCAAAAACAAAACCTTGTTTTGACTTAGAAAACATGCAAATCGAATCGGACGAACAGGTCCGCACCTTAGGAATGGGCGGTCGTTTGGGTTCTTTGTTAGCCTGCAATACCGAAGCCTGTCTATGTCTCTGAAAGGGGGGGTTGTTAGAGGGAATTGTTGGCCCGACTGAAACAGGCGAGGTGTTTTGTTCCCCTTTATAGGGATGGGGTTGCAATGATGGCGGGAAGGAATCAAGTCTATCGCTACATTGTAGGTTTTTGAAAGCTGAAATCTGAGTCCGACCCCTCTGTTTTGTCCACCCCTTCTTTTTAATCTTTTGTTACTTTGGAGGAGTTGCAGAGATCCACAACTCAGCTAATCTGTTAATTCAAATGGTTAACTTCAAAAGGCTAACTAATACTACTTATACAGCACCTTTCTAAGTGCAGAGACCCGACCAAAGTGCTTTACACAACATTCATCCAAACTCACACACAGATGGTGGTAAGCTACATTGTAGCCACAGCTGCCCTGGGGAAGCAAGGCTGCCGTACAAAGGCGCCTCCGGGCCCTCTGGCTACCATCAGAAGGCAATGCAGGTGAAATATCTTGCCCAAGGACACAATAACACTGGGGCTTGAACCAAGAGCCCTTCGGTTGCAGGGCAAACTCCTTCATTCAGAGGCAGTCATCCTAATTCATTAGAGAAATGCTTTATTACTCCCAAAGGGAAATTAAATGCTGTAGTAAGTCATTAGTTTTCTGTTTTGTTTGTTTGTTTTTTTTTTTTCATCAAGTTGTTGTTGTTGTTGAATGCAGGAAGAAAGCCCTTATTGAAGCCCTGATTGCTGTAATTCATATGGGGAAAAAAATGCAAATAAAGAACGATGTACTTTGTTTGCATGAGAACTATATATATATATATATATATATATATATATATATATTGTCTTGCATGCAAAACCCCTTGTTGCAGAACAATGTCATATCACTCTGAACACCCCTCGAAGGACCTTTGTGGAGGCTGCAACAGCAGCATCATGCTAAGGGATCACTCTTTTCATTACTGATAGGAAAGCTGGTCAGATTTGGTATAAAGATGGATTTTGATAAGTGCAGGGTCAGTCTATAAGAAAATAACTTAGAGGTTTTTCAATGCATGAAACTGGGATAAAGGTACAGTACAACTTCAAGCACAAAAACAACCCTTAAAATACATCCAAAACTAGCAGAGTTGTTTAGAACTTGCTACATTCACGTGCTACAGTATATCTTTGGTAAACTACAGAACCATTTAAATCTGTGAGAAATTTTAAAGATCGATGTACAAAGGTGGCCTTTAGCAAAGCTGGGGTTTTACCCAAAGGAAAATGGACTCAAGTAATTTCAGGAATTAATTCTGCAAAGACACAGATTTTTCCTGAAGCGAGTTTGCATTCCATTCGTTTGGAAATGCTGTAAACTAATAAAACTTGTGATTTCATCAATTTAATTTCCCTTTGGGTTCAACAAGTGTTGATGTGTGAATTAAAATAGAAAATAAGCATCAAGAAAACCTCTTTGTAAGGTACCAATAAACATGTCTCTAGAAGTGAAATACTCACACTCCTCGATGTCAGAAAACGGAACACATTCCTTTTTTATTGAGCAGATTAATATAAGCGGACTGCTTAGATATGAACTCTTAATTATTGTTTTATAGCTGATGAATCTCTTTAGATGTTTTCCTTCTGCGTTCTAATGTACTTTGTTGTTTTTGTTCTAATCTGACACCCAGTGTTCAGCCTCAGGGGGCAATTTAAATGTTTACTACTTAGTATACCAGAGGCAATCATACATACTTCAAAAATCAAAAAATTCAGCAGGGAGTGAATTAGCGAGTCGTGCCAGTCTATTTTTTTTATTTTATTTTTTTGAAAGAATATGTGTACAATGTATTTATGATCAAGTCTTTGTTGGAGGACAAATGTTATAACTCCTTAACTCAGTAAATAAGGAACAGAAACATGATTTACTGGAACAAGGTGGAGAAATTTAAGAATAAAAAGATTAAAAAATACATAATAAAAGTGCATAAAGAGAACTAATTGATTAGAGAATTTCTGCTCTACTAAAAATAGATATATGCTATATAATTAATTTTTTTTATGCAAATTAAACATTGTGCTATGCTTTTTTTTAAAAAACTACTGACTGACAAAAGCTGCCAAATTAAGGATAGTTTATAAAGTACTTCTAAAAGTGTTATAATCCCAGAGTTAAGACTGGGATAAATATATTTTTTTTTAAAAAGAAAATACCAGATTTTTAAAGCTATAGAAAATTTCACAGCTACTGTTAACTGCTTGTCAATTTGCTAACAAAAATAACTTTTTTCCACCCTTAGACAGATTATACTGTTGATAAATAGTATATTTTCATGTACTGTAAAATAATTGCTACAGAGATTAAGGGTGTTTATGTATTGCAAATCAAGTTATTGCCTCAACATCAGGACAAAATAATTGTAACTTTAATAATCAACATCACATTATATATATATATATATATATATATATATATATATATATATATATATATAGCAAAGGCAAATAGAAATGTAGAAACAGTGAAATCTATTAATTTTATACTAATTTGAATAACGTGTACACTTTAAAGGTACGTATAGTGGAGGATGTTCATTTTTCCAGGTGGATCATTAAAATAACTGATCCTGCTAATTGTCAATCATTCTGTTGATATGTTTATGTAAGGCTGTCTTATGTGCTCGTATGCATTTTCACTAAGCAGTGGTGAGTCTGACATGGTGGAAAAATTGTAAATCTTCTTTTGGAAAGTAAGCTTGTATGAGCGATGGAAACAATAACTTTTAAAAAGAGTGTGCATTAGGAGAAATGGGCTTGTACAGTACATGCTCTCGCTCACGTTTGATAGTAGTACCCTCTCGGGAGCGGGTACAGGTATTTTTTTAAGTGGAGAGGGCGGGTCATTTCAAAAATTCATGAAAATCCTCCACTAAACCTTTATTAATGTCAGTATCTTTCAATGGTATTCTACATTTTCCTTTGTGGACCTTTATGTAATATGTGTTTAGATACATGCCTGCTGTTCCCAAGGATCCCTTAGGACATTTAATGCTTTTTACATAATGAGATATCTTTTATATGGTAATCTCAATGTTGCAATGGTAATCTGACTGTTGAAAAGTATGAAATAGATTTTAATGCAATGGAATGTGGATCTCAGATGAAGGGACAAAACTTTTTTTTTCTATTTATGTTGAAAGAAGAAGTTTGGCTTTCAGTCTGACTCCCTTATGTATATAAAGGAGTAAAGGACAGATCTACCTGCTTTCCTATTAAATCTTCAAAATTGATCAACCTGAATAATTTGAGAGGATCATTAAAAAGAAACCTTTTTTAAAAGCTGAGATTAGTCACTCAACAAGAGTATGCACAAAATAGAGAATAATGTGAAGTTTTAACATTCTCTATCATAGGAGACATGACTCTCACTTTATATTGTGTAATAAAACCGGCCTGCTGATTCTGCAAAGTGCCGTTTGGACACTAAAATGCTTTTAGGAGGAAGTAGCACACATGTTTTAGTGTTGCCTCAGAGGTGAATGGATTGGTTTTTGTTCAAAACCTTTCTCTTAGCTTTCCGGATTCTTCTGGTCAAGTGTGTTCTTTCATTCCTCTCAGACTAAAATCCATTAAGTGATTTGTTTATCTGACCTTTCTCACTGATCAGTTTTGATATGAAATATACTACAATCCCTTGGCTTCTATTTTTATCTATTATATTAAACTTATTTGGGTAAGTTGAGTTAATAAGCGAGCATATCAATGCATAAAAAATTCTTGCATCTTAAGTTGTTTGATACACAAGAATAAAACTGAATACCAAAGATGGCAGAAATAGTAAGCTTAATTTTAAGCCATGGATAGTAAGAGATGTAAGAGATTCCTGTTTTTACTATTTAAGGCTTGCTTTGGCTGTGAATTAGACCTTTATGTTACAGTGCTTCATCTAGCAACATTTTTGTTTATAAATCCTCTGATGGGAAAAATAAAAAAAGGACACTATTGTGTGAAAACTAACTCCCTCCTGCATGACTGTCCAGTTGCATGAAAATTTCTAATAGGGAAGCATTACTTGAACAGTGCTGTATCCGTTTGTTGCATGAAAGTAAGAGACTGATCCAAAACTATTGTTAGCAACTAAATCCCCCATTTTACCCCTGCATGCAAAAATGTGCCTGTGGTTGCATTCCATCAGTTCTGGTCCACAAGTATTTTCTTCTTCTCATACAGTATAAGGAGATCATATAAAAATGTTTTTTATTTGTTTTTGATTTTTAGCTTGAATCACCTCCGATTTAAAATCCCCATCAACCGCACAATGGAATTTTCAAGTTTTTAAAGTATAAACATTTTTATTTTATTTTTAGAACACCATGAAGAATAAATTATATCAGGGTATTTTGTCTTCT